ACCGGTCTTCGGGATTAGGATCCCGAGGCGGTTCGACGACCCGTCGTACACTTCTACTTATAAGAGGTGTCGATGGTCTCGGGCCTAGATATGTACATACCTACAGCCACGGATGATGCGTAGACGAAAAAACGAGTCACGTGCGTACGACGGCCGTTTAGCCAAAGTGAACGGGGTTACCGATCCCGAGTGGCCGTGACTCTGGCCCAGGGTCTGGGCCAGTCGAATTCCACGTACCCGGTGTTCAATTCTGCCGTGACACTTTGTTAACTATATTTAAGCTGTCTGAGCATATTTCCATTGTTAGGTGATGAAAAAAATAATATAAATATAAATCACTTTTATTATACATTCAAGTACGTGTATGTAAAAACTGCGACGAACGGATCGAAACATTCGGCATTCGAAAAAGTAGTCCAAGAAAGGTACGACTGAGAGATTCATCGAATAACAGTGGAAAAGCTTTTATTGTAGAATGTATTCTTATCGGATCATTGGTAAGGGTTGATTCGAGAATCGACCTTGTATCGTAGCCATACACAGTTCACGTGTCGATGGAATAATCGTTTGGAAAAGAAAATCGTTAAAGGCTTCGGATTCTATAGTCCGGTTTGGATCGATTTCGGCCGATTTACATTCACGCGGCTCGCTCGTGATCGGTGTATGCACCGAGCCGTGAATGGGGAAAAGAGGGTGAGAGGTGGGCAAAGGGTGGCGGCCGGAGTTAAATGCACGTCCCCGTAAAGGGGTTGTCAGAGGACAACGAACGAGGAGAAACCGTGCGAGAGGGACGCACCGTGGAAAAAGCCCACACTCAAAGGAAGAGTAAACAAGGACGGGAGAAAAACACCGTAGGATTTTTGTAGACGGCCGTCTGGCTCGGAAATTTACCAGACTAGAAGAAATTGTTCTTCGATCGTGACGATGACGAGATTTTTCGAAACGATAAGATACGATCGCTGCGAGTTGAAATTTTCAATAATATTTTAATTAATTTAATAAATCCTGTCCCCCTACTTTCCCCTCTGCCGTTCCTTCTGTACTGCAAAGATCGTTCAAGCGATATTCTTCGCTATTCATTGCGCGCAAGACGGTTCACGATTCCGTTCTTGGATCATTCGCCTACTCGCCCTCGTCTTATCGATTCCACGCGTTACATAAACCACCCCCGCCAAAACCGAGAGTCGCCTTACGAATCCATTCGGATCGCCCCCCCGCCCCCGAACGAAAGTCCCGATTGATGACACACCGTGTATCCGCGATGGGCTAACATCGAGAAACGAACGGAAAATTACTCGGTGTCCGTCGTCGGTGTACACGCGTGCCGATTCGCTCCCTAGGTTCTCATTACAAACTGCTCCGAAGCGAGAGCAGCGCAGCGTCTTACGAAACGCGAGAAGTTGTCCGAAGAATTAAACTTAGCAGCGCGATCGGCGCATGCACCCTGTCTCGGGGCATCGACGAACAGAGACAGAGTCCGACAGCATGGAAAATCTACGAACGTGGGAAAAAGAGATAAAAGGAGGAAGCGAGAGAGGGATAGGGGGAACAGTATAACCGAGAGAAAGAATACAACAACGAGGGTGAGCGAAAGAGAACGAGCGAGGGGGGGGAAAAGGGAGACACGGTTGCACGCGTTGGCGTAGCTAGAGGGGTTGAAAGGGGTAACGAGAGCGCCGTTCGACGAAGAGAGATAGAAACGCTAGACTCCCGCCCGAGCAGGACGAAAGAGGGAAATGCACGAGAGGTGCCGTGAGCGGAGGGGGTGGTAGAGGAAAAAAGAGGAACGAAGATAGAACAGGGAAGGGGGAACGAGGGCGGGAATGATCGAACGGAGAAAGGGAACGAGAGAGAATGAGGCTAGGAACGAAAGAGAGGTGAATACATGAGAGATGGTGGTGGGCAGCAAGGGGGTGGGTGGAAGGAGGGAGAGGACACCAGAGGGGGAAAGAGAGAGGGAGGGAACCTCTGGCAACGGGTCGATCGAAAGCGCAGCGCAGAGAAATGCACCACCTCTGCTCTGGTCTGGCAGCTTTGCTGGCACACCACCGCGTCCCCGTGTTCGCCAGAAAGAGAGAGAAAGGGAGAAGGACGGGAGGGCGAGGGAGAGAGAGACGTATAGCAAGCGACCAATACCGACGCAGGGGGAGGACGAGCCAAGCCGACTCGCGTTGGGCTAGGTCAGGTCTACCCGAGTTCCACACACTGCTCTCTGCGTGTGCCATCCAAAGAGAGACCCCGAGAAAGCGGAGAACCACCCTTTCGAAAAAAGGGTTGAAACGCGAAATTTCGACCGGGAACCGCGGTGTGTGTCCGATCTACGCGAAATAAGTGCCCGAATTTTCGCGAGGAACACTACTTTTTTTTTCCTTTCGTCGAGAAAAATATAAACGTTGACTCTCTGTGGAGGGGTGGGGGGAAGGGGATCTCCTGTTTGGTCGAACACGATCGGTATAACCGCGGCATGCTCGCTCGTGAGTAATCGTCTCGGTCCTCTTGTGTCATTAACGGAAAAAGGGCGGAAAGTACGGTGGTATCGTACGATTCGGAATATTTGAATAAAGATCGATCGACGATATCCGTTCCGTGTACACGAGAGCGGTGCTTCTGTCCTCGGTTGTTACACCTGGGAAAGTAAAAAGGGGGTGGTGCAGGAGGGGGGAGGTGGTGGTGTGCGAGACGGAAGGAGGTGAAGTGCGTCGGAAGTGGTTCGCGTGTGTGCATTCGGGAGGAGTGAGTGGAAGAAACGGCGATTCCGTGGACGATTATTCACGTTCGAATCAGGAGCGGCTACTGAATGAAAACATAATAAGAGAATTATTAAACGGTGTGTGGAGGAATATCGCATACGTGGCGAACGGGATCGTTGTTGACAAACAGCGAGAACGAGGAGAGAGAGAGAGAGAGTGTGTGTCCGGACACAGTGGTTGATCCGAGTGGTCGGGTGCAACGGCAGCAGCAGCACCCTGATCCACCAATTTCTTTTTCTCGATGTCCTGATAATCGATAAAGCGTCGTGATCGCCTTGTCGAGAGACATTTTCAAATAAATGTTTAGGAAAACCGGCGTGTTTCGTCCCTCAGCGCGAGGCCAGCCCAGGCTCCCGAGTGTCCCAAGAGTCGTCGGGATGCCGATCTCCCTTAAGAATCACAGGATCACGTAAAAACACGGGCCCGAGTATCCGTTTAACGAAGAACCGATCGTAGCGAACACGACCGAGCGGAAGGAGAAGAGGCGAGAAGAGATCGGGCGAGGAACGCGTCGCCAAGACGGTGCAGGACATTCGTCGACTCGCAGGTCGCGAACCGATGCACCAAAAGGCGTGAGTACTGTGCGTAACGATGCACGACACTCGATAGAATATAATAACATTCGATATGCAAATGGGTAGCGCATCTAGATGTTTTTGATCTTTTATTTTCTAGTCGATTGTCGTTTACCGTAATCGAATTCTCGAGATTTCGCGAATGAACCTTGTAATTTCATTCATTCGATGGATATACTTTCCACTACTTTTACGGGAATCAATCTAGTTAAGGATTTCGGCGCTGTACACGGTGAATGGTAGGGTCGTTCACCAAAAGTTTGTACACTGCCCTGTGCGTTGTAGACGACTCTAAACACCTTGATCCTTACATAAACGGACTAAGTAATCAAAGAAATATCTGCTTTTATATTTCCCATCGATTGTCAATATTGTCTGAATACATGAAAGTTTAAGAATCGTTTACTTTCCGTCTGTAAAGAATAATAAAACGGAGAAATTCCATACACGACGAAGATGTAGCGATAGGGCCGAATGAACGATGACAAACACTGTTCGTCGATGAACCGCGGAAAAACGATTCCGGAAAGTCGTTGAAATTCGTAAACGAAGAAGAAACCCCTTGATCGAAGGGGATGAAACCGTCAGGGGATGGGCAGGGGGGTTGGGCAAGGGGAGGCAAAAAGTTACGCGGAAAGTTAACGAATAGTGAACGGGAGCTGGCAGTGCGCGATTTCCACGGAAATGGAAATTCAACGAGTAGCGAAAACCCCCAGCGGTCGGGGCGACCGGCCGGGGGTGAGGGGTGGCGGAGGGCGGACTTCGGAGTTTATGCCCTGTCCCCCTCCCACTCACCCCTGCAGTCGATCAATGCGTGGACGGGTTTCACTTTCGCGATGTTAAAGTGTTGCACCACCGCTGATTCAGGGAACGGAAAAAGATGCGATTTTCACGGTGGCACGTGACTAATTCTCGCTGGAAAACAAAGAAAGCAGAACGGTACATACTTATTCGCTACGAACGTGTAACGATCATTTTTTCTTTTTCTTTTTTTCGGCGAAATGATCGGCAACACGCGAAACGAATCCGGAACACTTTCGACGTATTATCGAAATTAATGGCTCCGGAGTTATTGATCGTATCGATTTACGGGAATCTTTCACTATTTATAACGCTCCGCATTGTCGAGCTTTATTACGCATAGATACGTCTATCCCGATTCTATTAATACGATGCGCTCCTCCCGTTTCTTTCTTGCTCGCAATTCGACACCGATGAGACAAGTGAATATAATAAAATTGTCCGATAATGATGTCGGTCCCTGTGGCCTTGAAGAATAAAAATTCTAATTTTCCATATATTTTGTCCCTTTAGAGGGGACAGTCGAGTGCAAAGGGTTGAACATTATAGGAAAGAAATGATAGGGCATGTACCGTCAGGTTTCTACATCAGTGAACCGCGATACTCTGTCGGAATGAACACGAAAGCCGATCAAAGTCGCCCGCTGGGTTTAGAATATAACGGCGAATGGGATATGTGCTAAACTTTTAGTAAACAGCCTCTCTTGGATAACGGTACTCAGATCCGTATCAAATCCTCGGGTTCCCAGAGAACGGTGAAACCCAGTCGAACTTTGCTTAAAACGTCCCACCCAACGATTCCATCTTCCGATTAACGAGACAACGAACCTAACATTATTTTATTTTATTTTTTTTTTTCCTGTGTTTCTGTGCAGTGAAGGATGGAGGCTAGTGAGTGGGATCACGCGACCTTGAGGGAAGAGGAATTCGAGCAGCATGCCGTGTATTTGGTACCGGATGTCGCGGCGTCGCCAGGCGATACCAACCGGGCGGAGGCGTCCCTGCCGAGAAATTTGGTCCTCAAGCCTTCTCAGGCCCTCCACGATGTACGTTCTTCCGCCAAAGAATCATTTCTCGAGACCTCCCCGGTGAGAGTCGCGAGAAACCCACGACATTTTTCCGAGTTGCATTCTCGCTACCTTCTTTCGGGTACCGTTCGTCGAACCGGGTTGCAGAAAGCTTTGGAAAATGTTTTACTCGAACCGTGGTTCAGTCGAACACCGATTGAATTCGACCAAAAGAACACCGACGAATCGCGGGGCACGATCGAGCTCGGAAGCTAATTAACTTAGCGAGTGTGACCTAGAGCCGAAGTCAATCGTTACACTTTCCTCGGTGACAGGAATCGAGATCGTGAGGAGAAGGGTCTCCGTGCGATTCTTGAATCGTTTGTACGGGATTCGAAGCGCGTTCGATTCATTTCTATAAACCGGAAGAAGGATATAAACAGTTCCTTATCAATGGAAAATCGAAGAATACTTTGCCGAGAATAAACTAAATAATTATTATCGAAAATAGACGAAAACTATTCCCTCGTTAGTCTGCTCGTGAATGTTTTAAATAATTTGTTCGTATCCCGAGAACCTGGTGGTCGAAAAGTTGATCGAATCTTTTTACACCGAACGAGTACCAAACGAATTCGAGTAAAGCAACGCCGATCAAATCGACAGGTGGCAGAAATTAAACGAATGTTTCGTGTGTATGCAGGTTTTGGGAGTTTGGAGCACAAGTTATATACCGAAAGGGACACGGTTCGGTCCTCTCGTGGGCCAAGTATACACCAAGGACTCGGTACCAGCTGACGCGAACCGGAAGTACTTCTGGAGGGTAAGGATCAATTCGTATGGCTATTCGAAAGCTTCGTGGCATTTATTCCGCGAGCGTCGATTATCATCATCGTCCAGTCTCTCTCTTTCTCTCGGATGATGAGACGAAAAAAGTAAAGAAGACGGAAAGGGAAAGAGGAAGGATAGAGAGAGAAGCCAGCAAAGATCAGAAACTGGTTTCAACCGATCTAGCGAGCCTTAAAGCGAAACCCGCGAAGCCATTGATGCCTCGTAACGAATTGATGAGTTACGATAGAGAACTTGGATTCCCTCTCGATCCTCCCTACTAAATCGTTGATATTTTCTAGCCAGTCGACCATTCGACTGTTTCGAATATCCACGATTTATGTTGTACATATCGTTTCAACGAATGATCCCAGGCGAGACAGCTTTGTTGCTCGTCGAGATTGAAGTTAACGTGATCGAGTGATAATCACTTGGACGCGTGAAATACATGAAACATATATAGCCAGTCGTGTATTGTTCCACCTAAATCGCGCGTTTTTATCGACAGGTGTACAAGAACAACGAGCTGTTCTATTACATCGACGGTTATGACGTGCAGAAATCAAATTGGATGCGTTACGTAAACCCGGCTTATTCGTCCGAATCACAGAACCTAATAGCATGCCAGTATAAGGTGAGACGAAACCACAGACGTTCGTACTTCTTCGTAGTTGTGATCGATTCGATGCTCAGCTTGTTCTTTCGGTTTCAGATGAACATTTATTTTTACACAATCAAGCCGATACTACCGAACCAAGAGCTTTTGGTGTGGTATTGCCGAGAGTTCGCGGAAAGGCTCAATTATCCGTTAACGGGCGAACTAATGCTTCAAAGAATACGTGAGTATATACCCGTCAGCTGATCCCTACGTATACGTTCTCCCGCGAATAAATACATGACAAGATCGTTTCTGATCGTCTCAGGACAACAAGTACAACAATCGGCGTTACCGAACGAACTCCCGCCCACCGTGGACGTGGTGTCGCCGTTGAAAGACTCGACGATCTACGAGAGACGTTCGCAAATGACCCCGACGGACGGTTCCGTTAGATCGGACGAGGGCTATCATTCGAACGGCTATCACGACGAGATCCTCACGCCCCCGGAAGAGAGCAGCGAGTCCGACTCGGAGAACAATTACGTGCTGGACTTCAGCAAAAACTCGAAAACGTCGGTGTGCAGCAACGAGGTGCTCAAGCAAGACAATGCAGCCGCGAAGAACGAGTACAGAAAGGTGAAGATCAAGATCACAAAGACGTACGGGAATTTTCAGACGACGAAGAGCCTGGACGGGAATGGGAAGGAGAAGGATCCGGAGCTGTCGAGCAGAGCGGTGACCCCGGAACTTCAAAAACCAATGTCTCCGATCGTTCTACAGAAGAACGCGGTTCTATCGACGGTGAACGAGGATGATATACCGGAGAAAAATCCGAAACCGTTCTACGAGCCCGAGGTGAAGGGAAATCTGCCCGTTTCCGGGAGACCCGCCTATTTGGCCAGTCCAAGCAGTTCCATTCTCGAGAACATCCTTCTTCGTAGCAGTACGGACAACAACAATAATAACAATAACAGTCACAATCACCATCACAATGCTACCCAACAACACCATCAGCACCATCAGATCCACCATCAAACTCACGTGGAGTCGGTCACTCCGCCGCCATCCAGCCCGACGGAAATGGCTTACTCCTACAAGAAGTCTCATCGTTACGGGAACATTCTACCCTGCAGCCCAGACTCCAGCTCGAACCTACCGATGCAAGCGGACACGTGCGTCAATTCCACCAGCGGTAACAGTAGCCTACCGATGCAAAGTCCGACGAGTAATCTGCATTCGAGCACGGGTAGCCTTCATTCCAGTACCGGAAATCTGCACTCTAGCACCGGTCCGAACACCATCTTACAGTCTCATCCGGGTAGCATACATTCGTCCAGCAACACAAATAATCATCATTCGAGCCCGAACGTGTTGTCGTCGTCCAATACGATACTGACGTCGACGAGCAACCTTCATTCGTCGACGACCAGCAACAGCAGCTGTCCACAGAAGAGGAAGACCAAGAGCCCGTCGCCCTCCGGGAATCCAACCAGCGCGACCACCTCGACGATCCTCTATTCCAGTTCCGGCGGTTGTCAGATCGAATCCAGTCCGGTGTATCCGAATTCAGCACCGAGCAGCAACCAGAGCGTCTCACCCATCTCGCCCATTCAATCACCTTCGTCCTATCCGTACGGTATTTATCATCAAAACGGCACGTTGCATCACAACGTCGCCCCGTTGTCTATCAATTGCACCGCCTACTCGCCGACTCCGAGCGGAAACGTGGTCTACGAGAGAGCCGACGGAAGACGGCTGGAGGCCGCGACGAGCAGTCACCAGTTGCCCACCTCGTCGACGATGCAAATCGACAGCAATCAAGCGTTGATCGCTGGCACGCACAATCTACACCTGGGCCATCACCCAGGCCTAACCATTCACGCGAATTCATCGTCGCTGAACCACCGATATTCACCGGCGAGCTCGTTGTCCCCGGACGATCACGGTTGTTCCCAGAGCGGTTAGCTAAGCCCGAACTCTCAAGGGTCCAGAGGCTACAGATCGTTGCCGTATCCCCTCAAGAAGAAGGACGGGAAGATGCATTACGAGTGCAACGTGTGCTGCAAGACATTCGGCCAGTTGTCGAATCTCAAGGTTCACCTGAGGACGCACTCGGGCGAAAGACCGTTCAAGTGTAACGTCTGCACCAAGAGCTTCACGCAACTGGCCCATTTACAGAAGCATCATCTCGTGCATACCGGTGAGTATATCTTATACTTTGTTAGATTTGCTTGCGATGGGGTGAGTATACTTAACGAGAATATGGGATCGCAGGTGAAAAACCGCACCAATGCGAGATCTGCAAGAAGAGGTTCAGCTCGACCTCGAACCTGAAGACCCACCTGAGACTGCATTCCGGCCAAAAGCCCTACGCCTGCGACCTATGCCCCGCGAAATTCACACAATTCGTTCATCTGAAGCTGCACAAGAGGTTACACACGAACGAAAGGCCTTACACCTGCCAAGGCTGCGATAAGAAGTACATAAGCGCGAGTGGCCTTAGGACCCACTGGAAGACAACCAGCTGCAGGCCGAACAATATCGAGGACGAGCTTGCGCTGGCCGCGGCCGTGGGTTCGCCGACGTATTACGAATACGGGCCTGACATGAATGTCGGTGAGTAACAGAAAAAATAGAAGCCGCGTGTCTACGCGATCGAACGAACCCCAGATAGCCCATGACGCTTTGAAAACGGCTTAAAGACGACTTAAACCTAAAACAGCCGTAAAATAGGCGCCTTTAAGGCGTCATGTGATACCTGGGACACGAATGGAAATAAATATTAAAACGTGTGACCGTTCGATCGACAGCGAAACAGGGGGTGGCGATGTTAACGGGGGGACGCCGTTTTCTTTCGATTCGCAGGAAACATGCCGAAGGAATGCGAATTGGAGCACATCGATAATTACGAGAGGCACGGATCCACTCACGGGCCGCACTCCACGTCCCTCCACAATCTGGAGAACTCCGTGGGCCGACCCAGCGTCATAGAGACTTCCCAACCTCACATAATCGAGTGCACCTAAAAACAGGGGTATGAGCCCTTTCGCTCCAGCGCAGAATTCAGCCGTGGAATAGTAAACGAGTTGCTCGCGACAAACGAACCGTACTCGTGCTTCCCTTTCGCGGCTCCCGAACAGGAATTTCCGGGACTAGAATTTTCTTAATTTTCACATTCGTCGCGAAGCAGCGTGCAACGATGGAACTGTACATAGAGAAAAAAAAGGGGGGGGGGCTGGAGACGACGAAAAGAGATCGTGTGTATGCGTGTGTGTGTGTGTGGAACGCTTCGAAACGAGCGAGTTTACGTGCAAAAACGATCCGAGATTATTGAACAGATTGTTGCTTGAATTCGAAAGCTTTTTACGTAGATACTAATTCCCGAAAGTTCGATTACTTTCTATCGTACGTTGATCGCGGCACGTAGACGAACTCGATTTCGCGGCCCCCTGGATCGGAGAAGAACGAGTCGACGGGATTCCCAAGCTACGAGCGTAACAAAGTTCCTTCCTTGTAAATACTCGTTTCTATATTTTTTCTAACGGTAGCGCGCCCACCAAAACGAACACGAATCCAAAATGAAACGTAACGAACGCGGCACAAGGGGGAGAGACGGGACGAACGGATTAGAATGGCTGTTATTAATTCTCAGAGTCGTCGCACGCTGCCATTTTGCCCGGGAATCGAATCGATAGAAAGGGAATTATATTGTAAAATATATATATATATATATATATATATATATATATATATATATTGCCACCGAAAAACGTCGTTCGAGCTACTCGATTATCTATTCCACGGTTCCATGCTAAAGCGACGCTTAGAAAAGGTACCGTATTAACGCGGTATCTCTGTGCCGTTTTTCCCTTTTTTCTACTCCGGTATACAAATCGCTAAGCTTCCACGAATACTTCCATCGTCCAGCCAAGCAACCAGCTATTATACGAAACAAAAAAAAAAAAAAAAAAGAAAAGAAACAAAAGCAATCTTTTTTCCCTCGATCGTGACGCGCGCGTTACAGACGTGGAAACGTGATTCAATGGTTTCAATTCAAGGGAACGCGAATATATCCGCGTGCTCCCAACTCCCGAGTCCATATTGCCCGCCGATAACGCGACGTTATTCTTTTCTTCTTCTTCTTATTCGAATTTTTCGTCGCGGTGTCACGGTACCATTTTCTACGCGTTACCAGCTTTTGATCGTGAAAACGCGGCGGATTTCGTCGGCACCCGCCAGCAAGATGCACAGAAAATTCGAGAGAAATGCGCGACGGAACAAAACCGAGCGAGAGAGTGACGCGACGATCGTAGTACGAACAACCAGTGACGACACGACTGCAAACTATACGAGACCTGTACCTGTATATACTAACATTACTATTAATTATTCGATATAATTTAAAAAAGGTAATATAATTCTAAGGAGCTCTAATTTATGAACACCTTTATATATAATTATTATTGTATATGTACATCGTCGTCGGTTTGGCGAGAAAACGGTAGGCTGCGCTCCGCGGTAATACTTTTTTAACCGGGACGAAACCACTTTCAGAAACGTTGGGTAATTTATTACACACACACACACACAGACACACACATACACACACACAGGCGTATTTCGTAGTAACGTTGAAACAAAAGAAGAAAAAAAAGCTTTCGGTGATCGAGTATCTATATATCTATATTTATACACGTTCATATACATAACATATACATATATATATAAATATATATATATATATATTTTTTAGGCGTCCTTTTGTCGTGGAATTTTCGAAACGGAAGCATTGTCTCTTGGTCCACGCGAACGAATCATTTAATTTCCCTTTCACGAACCCTTGAAACGCGCGTCTGTTCTTCTCGTTTCGATCTCGTTCGATGCACACTTTTTTCCGTTTAAACGTCTCGTGATCGCAGATCCAGTGACACGATAAACCGAGAATCCACAATTTTTAATCTGCCACGGCTGATCGTTCTCCGACGACGAAGGAACGTTCTTATCATTCCTCCCGTGTTTATCGCGATCGCGCACAAATTCCCGTCGTGACGTAACGCGATCGCTACAGCCGATTAATTTGCATCGTTAGCAAAATCGGTGAACGCTCTGGAAACGCAGTATTCGAAATGAAGGCATTACATTCGAAATACAGACGAAAACGAAATTTCGTATTTCGTCCGGGAAAGGAGAGGAGGGAGCGAAGACTCGGGCGCAGATCTTCGAATTTGGGAACAAATCGAAAGCGCACACTAACACGGGTAGCACGTCTCACGGGTCGAGAGGAAATTCTCAAAATCATCCGATGAGTGGGAGAATGGGGAGAAAAAATTCTAGTCAAAAAAAAAAAAAACTAACGCACTGTCGCGTCTCGTGGGTAATTTTTTTCGTGTATAATTTAAACAAGATCCGCCCGAGCCTTCACATGAGAAATTCACGGTTCGATGTGTAATGTAAACGATTAGCATGTAAAGAATCTTTCTAAGTGTACATAAGGATCCTTTTAGAAAATTTATCGCAATTCGGCAAAGGATACGATTAGGTTTTTCCCCAGTGAGAGACGATGAAAACGCGAATAGCAATATATGTACCGATCACCAGTCGAAATCGGTTCAGAAAACGGTACGATACACGTTTACTAAAGAAATTTTACTGGAAATATGTGTTTGAACGTATTCCTTTCTTATTCGCATCTTCCATTTGGTTTCGCGCGAGAATTTCGTCGTCCTTCGTACTTCCACTAATTTCTAAGCGCCGAATCGTCGACAGTCCGACAGTCACTGAGAAAGCGCAGCCTACCATTAGATGCGAAACGATAAAAGAAAAAAAAAAAATGATCGTTGTCGATCGGTGATTCACGCGCCTTCCAAGCGGGATTTTTACGGGACGAATCACTGATCGATAATGAGAGCACATTCACGATGTATCGCAGACTGATATACGCACGGTTCATCGATCGTTTACGAGAGGAAGAAAACAAAAAAACAAAAAAAAACATAAGAAACCGTTTTAACCGAAGTTACGCGCATCGCGATTACAGGAGCGGAAAGAAAGAAAAGGGAAAGAAATCAACAATCAAAGAAACAACTCGAAAAACGCGTTCTAGAGAATTCCAGCGTAATTCCGAACTTCCTTGTCTCGAGAGCCTCAGTTTCGAAGAGAACACACACGTCTATCGCGCGCGCTCGCGAGAGCAATAGAAGAAAAAAAAAATAAAGAACGAATCCAAAGGTTCCGCGTCGACTGATCGTATAAAGTAACTTCTACATCCATCGTCTCTATCCGTTTTTAGCCTGGAACGTGACAACTTTTATGGTTCCTGCAAATGTCATGGTGCTCGTCGTAAGATTTCTAATGGAACTGAGAGATGATCGTTTTTATAAGTTCCGTTTCTTCCGTTTCCGCAGTGTTCCCCGTTTTTCCAGCTTTTTCGTGTTTGTTTCTGTTTTTTTATCGGGAAACGATACTTTGGCGTGGCGTTAACATTTTAAGGCAGCTTTAAAACAGAGAGATATGGGTGTTATCATTTCGTATTCCGGCGAATCACTCCGTGTCCGTACTGTACGTAAAATCACGGGAGAAACGAGAAAAAGATTCTCGATGGAGAGAAAAAAATGGCGAGAAATGGAGAAAGTATATAATTCGAAGACGGCGCGATTCGCATGGCCTTTTTACGCTGATATTCCGCGGATACGTTAACAGGCAACGTGGAAGACTCCAGGCATTCTACCGAATGCCTAAGGCCGAACGAGGCGAATCTTTACGCAAATGTATTTACGCTGATCTGTTAGATCTATTCGTCGCTCGTGAGAAAGAGAGAAAGATAGAAAGAGAGGGAAAACGTAAAAAAAAAAAAAACGCGCAGGACGCTATAAACTACCGCGTTAACACAAGGACTGATCGCGTTTCGATTCTACGGTGTGTTAACTTCCGGTAGCGAGTCTAGGCCTGCATATTATATGCACTCGATGCCGCGAAAAACGACACTGGAAACGCGGACCTGCGGGAAAACAGGAAATTCTACGTTTCTTCGAGACAAACCGCAAACGCATTCGTTTTTCTACCAGTTGAATATTATAACATAGATGTACATTCTTAATCGTCGAGTTTAATACTTTCGTGATGCCCGTGATGGTTTTATCGAGAATAAACGACCACTTCCAGACCAATGCACGAAACACGGAACAACCTAATGGACACACCTCGCGAGACGTCCGAAAAAACTATCGCGAAAGTGTTAAACGTCGTATCGATCGACGTCAAGTATATTTTTTTATAACGGTCGAAGTGCAATCTGGAATCGCGGGCGATAGTTTCCAGTGGCGTTTCGTCGATCGTCATTCCGTATATTGCCTCGATTCCCTACCTTGCCTGCATCAAACGCACTATTATAAATATCGAGATGAAGAGTGAAAGAGAGAGAGAGAAAGAAAGAGAGAATGTGTGCGAACGTAAACGAACGCGAGAAAGAAAGAAAGAGAGAGAGAGAAAAAGGGTTACACCTAGCACGTAAGATTTAAACTGCGGAGAAAAGAACAAAAACAAAAAAAAAAAAACAAAGACAGACGGTGTAGTGAAAGAAAGCCGAAAACCAGAGAGAGGATCGTGTAAATACCGCTGAAAAAAACGGAAGAAAGCAAGCGACTAACCGCGTCGACAACAAACAAGAAGCAATATTTAGTTCTTACCATCTCGTAATAATTAAACGATAACTCCAACTCTGTACTGTACACACGTGTGTACGACGCTCGTAACGTATTTAAACGACTATAAATTAAATGTTAATTATCCTTACACTTCGTATATAGTAAAATTGTTACGCATTTATTATCATTACAATTATTGAATAGGTAATGCTCAATTAGCATTTGTTTCTTAAAATAAAGAATAAATATATGGCTGTTGGATATTTATATTGCACAATATCAACTACCTATTATTCGCACCCCCCCCCCCCCCTTAGCGTGTAATACTACGAATTTTGTCCATGCAAATGCTTCCTAAATTCGAACTTACGAACCCGTTAAAGCTCAAATGTTCTCCAGGGACTGGGAAATCCAAAGGATACGTTTTAATTTGGACTGTTAACTAATCTGTTAAACACATCGTGAACGTCTATCCACGCTGTCGCGAAAACGACGATCGGATAGAGAGACGTATCCCTATGGCAGGAAGTATGTCCAAGGATATGTTTCAACTTATAAGGCGTGGTATGTGGTTTTCAACCTTTTATTGTAAATTGATCTACAATCACCATATCCTGGCTCATCGTCGTTTTACATCTTCGTCGTTTATAAATAGGAAAAGAAATGTTACATCAGCACTATTGCTCAATTATCATAGTGTTGTGTATGTTTCGTGTACGTGTCTGCGCATATAACTCTGTTCATTTCTCGCAAACATCAACGTTCGTGATCGTGTCAATTAATTTACGATTTTCTGTCATTTTTGTTTTGTTTTTAAATCACCTGTTTCGTCGGACCGAATGCGTCCCCGAATATCTTATTGTACAATTTATAACGATTACACGTGGCATCTTTGTCGTCGAGGAACGAATTATCCTCTCGCGACCACGTCCAGTCACGGGATCACTCGCGGTTGTGGAAACGAAACGGAACAACGAGAGGGGGTAGGGAAAAGCTACCTAACTTACGAGGGTAAGCACTTTTCCTTTCTTTAACCACTTGTATCGTCATTGCCCCGGATGTAAGAAGTATGCGTAAAATTTTCCGTGCACACGCGCCGAGGATCATATACATATTCCTATATTAATTAGAAAAATAATACAGATTTTGCCTTGTTAATGGAAACAATTAGCTATACGTAATGGAACCACATGATTTATGCGGGTATGGACATTCGAGTACGTTGTCACAGCTAACCAAGTCCCTGAAAACAATTTTAAGAAAAGTCTTTCATCTCCCGGAACAACGGCACGTTTCTACTTTGTTCTCATATTTCTCGTAGGAACGACATTATTTAGAATATGCTCGCGTGTAAACGCAAATGTTCGACGAGAACACACGAATCTCGTAACCAGAACATCGAAGCAACGTTAACAACACTAAGGAAGAGAAAAAAAACTAAAGCGGCCGAATAAAAATGTCACGTAACAAATAGCGTTAAAAGTTCTAATCGCTGTTACCCGTATTCGGTACCTTTCGGACGCGTCGTTTTCATTCACGCGACTTTAAAATATTTAAAACTGACAATAAAACCAGACAATGCGTATCCATATATCGTAAAGTCAATCCGAAAGAAATTGTCTTCGTACGAAAATATTGGATCGAGGTAACGAAAATAATATATTCTTATAGACGTACTTGGAAACGATAGATCACAACTAAAAGCACAAAAAATGGAATTCTTCTCGTAACGTTTGGCTCCTAACGGAAACGAAATATTAAGAGGCCAAGAACGCCGAATCACAAATAAAATACCATTTCAAACGTTAAATTATAGTCAATTGGTACAACATTTTATTATTGTAGGATATGTTGCGTTCACGAATTAAAATGATAAATCTAAAATATTTTCGTCAGGACATCAACCGACGAAGAATAATGAGGATGTGAAATGTCCTACCTTATCAAGGTACAGGACTGTCTGTGCCGCTTCCGCTGTTGGTCCCGGCTTCCGTTTTCGTTGCAGCCACTCTGTCACCACGTTTGGAACTCTTCGATAGGGAGGCAACTTCTTTCAATAAACTAGAGATCTTGTGTTGCATGGTCGATATTTTGGTGTCGTATTCCTTCTCTGTTGCCTTCATCTTGTTTCGTAATTCCGTTTCTGACGTGAAATTTTTTGCTTTCAGATCAGTAATCTGTGAACAAAGACGATGTCCCTCGACCGTTGACAATTTGCTCCCAGAGATTTTGAAAGTGCTTCGAAAAAAATGGGACATTTACCTGTCTATCCTTAGCAAGTAATTGTCCATCCTTAATAGAGATTTGCTTCTGAAGAAGGGCTATTTTCTCTTTTAGTTGCGTCACTGCGACCACATGATCCGAACTGTTTGGATCGTGTGGATCGTGTACACCTACCATTCTCGCTGCTTTCACCGGCGTAGGGCCATTTGTGTCGACAATCTCTGACTGAGGCGGTAACTTCGTTACGTCTACTCTATGTGGTCTCTTATTATGACCTTTCATTCTGAAGCAAAATTAACAAAATAACTACAGGGTCGGCACAAGCTGTGCACACGTGAAAACGTTACCCGAATTGTTTTAGATGGAAGTAACACTGAAATTGTGATCAACACAATTAAAACTACTAAGCACAAAGTTACCTTGTGACATTACGTATTTGAATAATTACTTTTGTTCTTTGTGCTTTGCTGCCCGCTGTTGTGCCAGTTTCAAATGTGCCCTCCTTTCTGCATCCGACTGTTTTGTTTTCGCCAATGCTCGTTTGTAAGACAATGTACACAGCCAACATAACAATTTTCCATCAACCTTGTACAAAACACGATGTAGTCAGTATCAATAGAAGAGGCCACAAAAGATCATTGGATTATCATTATTCGTATACCTTCTTATCTTCATCTTGTCTGTCAAAGGCACACTTTTGTTTGCATTGTTCACAAGTAACCGGTGGTCCATAACGTTTCTCAGAATTGGTACACCGTTGACATTTGCTGCCAATAAATGCAGCTATGGTATTGCAATATTCACAGGCCGATGGTTTACCATAAGATTTCACATTTTGCTCACATTTTTTACATATAGTGCTTGTATTACCCTTTCTATAAGACAGAGAGCAAAGTTGTTTAATATAATCAGAGTGAACCAGTAGTTTTGAATACAAAGCAATATTTATGGGTGCTTACATTGTTTGTTGAAATTCTGACCTACAATATGTACATTTCACCACTGGATATGCACCTCTGCACTCCTAAATAAGCAACATAATATAGTGAAAGTTTCCGAAGAAGAAAAACATATAAGTAGATAAATTTCAGTGTTCGCACATTGTCTGTGGTATCGTATAAAACACAAATAATGTAAGGAGAAGTTGAAAAATAGCGTTTCAAAGTAATATTAAATTTCTAAACAAAAGCGATCGTAATTAACGATACTTATTTCACTCTTCAAAACAAGCATCACGTAGAATCGGATCTGAAAATTTGACCGTGAAAAAGTGTGCTCGTGTATGATAATAAATAAGATGACTAATTTACTTTCTAGAGTTTCAATCGTTACGGAACAGCATCGATTGTACGCGGAACGCGCGTTTCAATTGAAAATTCTATTATTAGACCTGTGTCTCGCGAGAACGAGAAGCGACGCTCGAAAGGAATCTGTCGCAACTCGGAACAGAATTCGGGGGAGAAAAGCAGGAAAACCCGAAAAACGATACCTTGCACAATTGCTGTCCCGGGGAAAGTTCCTCAAACGGATGCCTCGAAAAACATCTGGAACACGCGAAGAGTGCTTGCACGTTGTTCGCGCTCATCGTCGCGCGTCGATTCGTGCTTGCCCTCGGTACGCCAAAAAACCGTACGTCACCGACGATAAATACCGATTCGTGACGACAACGGCGGATCGTGTCGACGTTTTGCTTTTCACTGCTGATTGAGGAACAAAAAGAAACGGAAAATTTGACGGTAACGGCACTCACAATAACGGCTCCTTACATGTTTTAAGACGTTTTCCGCATTCGCCGCGATTGTTTTGCGTACATAACCGCGTCACCACACTCGTTTGCTGCACCGGTTGTTGATTTTAGACGGCCATCTGTGCCTTCTTACGAGAGAAACGTTTTCACCAGGTTCGCGACAACGACCAGATGTCGCTCCTATCTGCGTCAAGCACCTCGGTGGATATGCCACAAACCAATCGAAATTTTTCTAACCATATAAAAAAAATCTGTGTAATAAAAATCTGTGTTTCAATTACGTTTTTGATACGTATTACTCACTTATATGTAATAATATAGAATAAAAATATACTATCAGTCCGATATTTGAAAATATGCATGCGTTCGTTGTCATTGTTAAACTGTTGTAATAACAATGGAATAATAAAATAATTTACTCAAATGTACATAATAATACATATACATATCCATAAAAACAATATTAAACGCAATAACTTTTTTGTACGCGAAGAAAAACTAATATAGGTCCGTCGGGATTAGAACCCAAGACGTTCACGACCATGGTTCCTTCTTAGATTTAGCGTAGTTCACAAATTCACCGTTCTCATAACGTAGAGGGCAGCAGAAGATCCCTGACTTTTTACACTATCGGTATTTCAGAATATGAGACACGAAGTCCCATAAGATGATAGGTCTATCCTATACCTAGTCGGTGCTAAAACTTCTGGGCTGAATGGATTTTATCCAAACGAGTTTCCGTTCATTGGCGTACGAATCGAATGTCCCTAGATAAACTACGCTCCGCACATGTACTGTAGTACCACCGTAACTAGCCTACACCACTTTTTCCCCTAGCGGTGCAGAGTTTGCTCGTGAAGGTACAATACACAGTTTTTTAAACGTACCAGTACCATCAATATAAACATAACCACAAACCGCATCAACGTGTATCATTGCAATAAACATGTTCGATCTTTCTTTTAAGTACTGAACGTGACTATTTTAAAGAAGAAATTAGGTTAACAATCCAAAGATGCGTTGTGCGAAGAAAATATATCGGAGGCGAAAAGAAAAGGAGAGAGCTTTATACGTTCGTTTGCCGCACGTGATACGAGAAGAAGAAGATGTGGCTAAGTTATTCACCGGTGACTTCAAAGTAAATCTTCCTCGACAGTCTAGTAGACATTGCTATGTGATATTTGCGGATACCGAGGACCAATTGAAAAACTTAAAAGCTGTGAAGAACACACGGATTGATGGTAAACGTGTGATTGTAGCACCTGCGATTATAAAGCCCAAAAACAATAAGCCAAAAGGATTTAAAAAGAAGGTTGTTATACCTCCAGTAAAGGAAGATCCAAGAGTGACAAAGACGTAAGTATTCCTTGTGATTTTATTATTGTTATTGGTTTTTTAAGTGTATTAAAAATTGTTCACCTTATACAGACTATTTGTGGCAAATATCAAATGTGGAACCAAAACCCAAGACCTAAAGGGAGCTATTCCTGGATGTGTGTCCATTAGATTGTTAAAACCATATTCACAAAAGTGCAGGTATTTCTTATTCTACCATTGTATTATTCTTCAAATATATTATCAACAAGAGTTTATAAAACTTTAAAATTATATATTCAGGGGTGCAATGGTTAAAATGGAAAGTGCTCAGGTAGCATCAGAATATTTGTCAAAGATAAGAGACTGGCCAGTTGTCGAAGGACACAAATTAAGATTAAACCCAGATACTAGAAGAAGAATAAGAAATCGAAAATCTAATGCTCCATTAAAAATTTATGACGGAGAAACAGAAATACCAAAAGAACCGAGTAAAAGAGGAAAAAGTGAAGTTTTAGATCATATTGTACTTGAAAATAAAGTGTAAATGTTATTGTTCTATTAAAATTTTTTTTGCATATATGTAGTAATCATTGCATACCTTACATTAATTATGTATAATCTTCTGAAGGAGTTTACAAATGAAAGTGGCATGAATTTGCATGCTAGTTCATCATAGATCTATTATTAGTGTGAGACTGCTATGAATGCTAGGATTATATTATCATTCTTATTCAGCAATACGATGGTCTGATTTCCTGAATAGTACCCTGTTTTACTTGAAATAACAGTCAATCTATTTGAAGTGCTGCAGGAAAGATATTAACATTAAAGAATCATTAAATACAAGGAGAAGAACTCACGATATGTCATTAGAAATAATTGTTACACATTTGCGTCTACTTTTTTTCGAAAGGTTACGCAATATCTGTCATAGATAAGTGCAAAATCTATATTGAAAAATGTTTATCTGCAGAAAGTATGCACTGATGACACATACTTAGAAAAACGGTCGGATGATCAACGATCAAGGTGAAGTCTCCGTGTCTTTATATTAACAGAGTAATAGTCGACGTGAAAACAGTTCGACAATTCACTCGAGTGAGTAAAGTAGTGCGAAGAGCGTTTTCGTAGAATAAGATATAGCAAAGAGCAGAGGAATATTAAGTTTCACAGACGAAGCAAAGTGACATCGAATTTCAACAGTTCCAGACATACGCGATTTCAGTGAATCTGTAAAAGTTTATGTGTAAAACGTGCGCTTGATTTGATGTTGTTCAGTGAACACGCTAATTCAACAACCATTGTTTAACATCCAATTAAATAAAAAATTCAGGAAAGTAATCTGTTTATAAAATGTTTAAGTTATTAAAAATGTTGCTCAGCGAGAAGACTGTGGTCATGAAAGATTAAGATTTCTTTCATTGTTGTTTCCTTGACGTACAATGCTCCGGTAATAAAATATTGCAGAGTAAGTTTCTTATTATAAAAAATATATCCCGTTTAATGTGGAAACAAACATTCGCATGAAGTTTTACATCTTTTTATCAATACATGTTGTACGTAATATAATAACATATATATATACTCAGTTGGACGCACGTTAGCCTTGCGTTAACCTGCGTGACTACTTTATAGAGTATTGATTTGCAATAAAAAAATACGTGCTTTTAATAAATTTAATCGAAGCGGGAGAAGCGGCTATAGAGCTTTATTGGTTCACCGCTAGGTAGCAGAATAACCTTGATCGACACTTTTGTTTAGATTTGCAGAAGTATAGTTCACGGTGTTTGATACACGCACACGCGCATACACAAACTTGAACCGTTTCTCGAGTTCTCAGCATGAAGTAACCAATAAGCGATTTGCCAGTCTAATCGTTCCAACGTCATTGCATAACTCGCGTTGCTTTTTAAACCAATTATTTAATGCGCTGCGTGCAATGATTTTGCACTTGGAGGCGTTTACCGATCGATGTCACGCGTGTGTAATGACGCCGACCGAAAATGTGTATGGGCGTAATAACGCCGGCGAGTTCTGCGAATTGGATGTACATCAGAACTAACCTAACGAAAAAAGGCTATTCACTGTGTGGTTCTAACCAGGAGAATATATCGTCCTGAATAAGTATGAACCATTATTCGTCGCCGATTCATCCAACTTCGATTTTAACACGTACGACGTTGTCGCGTCATTTGTACGACGTCCGTGATAATTCACGTATAGGTTAACTTTCTCGACAGGCGTCCATCGACCGTTTACAATCTGTCATTTCGATTCGACATTTTGTAAATCGTAATATAATTGTATAAACAGAAATACAGAAGTGATGTTTCTGTGGATGTAGCACGTTTCTTGCCATGTATTTTATAATGAACAGACCTCTTGACACGTTCCTGTTGATAACTAATATCGAATCATTCGAATTCGAAGGTAACTAAACACGCGTTTCATTTATCTGCTATTTTATCATTGCTACTTTTGTAAGTAGGCCGTGTAAATGTTATTTATTATAAAAAATACGAGTGATATCGTGACTCACACAAAACCGTGAGATAGCAATGTACAAAGTTGCTTTATTAATTTGTCAGATGTGCATGCAAAACAAAGTGTATACGTGTTAACATTCTGTTTTATTTTTATTTTGTTCCAGCAATCTTTAGGGATGAAATCAGTACCATTTTGGAGTGACTCTTGATTTCTGCATAAAAAAAATTGTACAAGGAAGAAATTAATTATAATGCATTTATGATTAAATGCATCTCTTCTGTGTATGAGAAATAATGTTTGGAATTAATGTATATTTGTGCATAACCTGACTGCATTCAAAATGCAAGCCAAGAAGCGCTATTTATTATTATTCGTAACATGCGCGTTTCTTGGTTACTGTTACTTTGGTGGTTATAGGTTAAAAAGTGAAAAGTGGACAGGCAGATCTCAGTTGCCTTACGAGCGATTGCCTTCATATTTAAGTCTAAATGAAGAGTTCTATGACAAGGATTTAAGAACATCAAATGGAAATTCCCTTATGTCTCAACGTACAAAACAATGCCGTATGGAGACTTGTTTTGACTATACCAGATGCAAGCAAGGCTTCACAGTATATGTGTACCCAGTTGAGGATGTGATAAGCCCACTATACCAAAAAATATTAAATGTTATTACGGAATCAAGATATTACACATCAGACCCAACTAGGGCATGTATATTTGTATTAGCTCTTGATACATTGGATAGAGATCCATTGTCAACAGAATTTGTACACAATCTGCCTGCAAAATTAATGCGTTTACCTTACTGGAACAATGGAAGAAATCATTTGATATTTAATTTATATTCTGGTACATGGCCTGATTACGCAGAAGATTCATTGGCTTTTGATTTAGGCTATGCTATGCTTGCAAAAGCTAGCATGTCCATATTTAGACATAGACCAAACTTTGATGTGTCTATACCATTATTTGGAAAACAACATCCAGAACGTGGTGGAGAACAAGGTCAAGCTTTAGAAAATAACTTTCCTAATAATAAAAAATATGTAGCAGCTTTCAAGGGTAAAAGATACGTCCATGGCATAGGATCTGAGACTAGAAATGCTCTCTATCATTTACACAATGGCAAGGACTTGGTCTTTGTCACAACTTGTCGTCATGGCAAAGCATGGAGAGAGTTTCAAGATGAGCACTGTCAACAAGATAATCAGGAATACGATACGTTAGTATTAGTATTTTTAATTACAATTATTTTTTTAATAATTATTCACGAGACAAAAACGAATAATTTGTTTATATCAGGTACGATTATGAGATTTTATTGATGAATGCTACCTTCTGCTTGGTACCACGAGGAAGGAGACTTGGTAGTTTCCGTTTTTTAGAAGCTTTAAGGGCTGGATGCATTCCAGTTATTCTAAGTAATGGCTGGGCGCTTCCTTTTCACGAACGTATTGATTGGACACAAGCTGTTATATTTTCTGACGAAAGACTGTTACTTCAAGTAAGTGATCTCGCGTTGCAACTTGTTATAAAACTGCATAAGAAGCAGAGTACATTAAATTATGTTTTTCAGATTCCAGATATAGTACGGTCTGTGTCCAATGTACAGATACTTAAATTACGGCAGCAGACGCAATTCCTTTGGGAACGATATTTTTCCTCGATTGAAAAAATCGTATTTACAATATTCGAGGTAATTAATTAAAGTAACGAAATGTTTGACGATACATCCGCCTATGCCACTGACTTATAAATCGCAAATTAAACTTTCAGAACATTCGCGAGCGTTTACCATGGGAAGGTACTAGAGAAAAACTTGTTTGGAATACTAGTCCTGGCGCATTAGCGATATTACCGCAATTCGCCGATAGTCAACAAGAACTTCCGTTTTCAAAAAGCAATCCGGGTAACACTTTCACTGCCATCATCTACTCGCAGTTAGGGTCTACTGCCGTACTTTATCGTTTGCTTAAAAGCGTCGCGAAAAGTAAATACCTAGATAGGGTGAGTATACGAGGTAGCCTAATCTGTTCTTTCTCATTTTGTCGTTACAAAGAAATGAAGATTACGTGTTCTATGTTTCAGATTATACTAATGTGGAATTCGGATATTTCACTACCAAGGAGGCCACGTTGGCAAGGGATCAAAGCGTCAATACATGTCATCACGGTCGATGGCATATCTCAACGTTTTTATCCTCATCCGTTAATCAAAACTAGTGCCATATTATCGCTGGACGAAGATGCCACACTCAATACTGACGAGATTGATTTTGCATTTACGGTTTGGAAATCGTTTCCTGATCGAATTGTTGGCTACCCAGCAAGATCACATTATTGGGATGACTCGAAGGTAACTAGAGATTAAATTTTCTTGATACCGTAAGGCTTTTACAGTTTATCATCTCCTTGATGTTACTTTTTGCTTTACAGCGTTCGTGGGGTTACACAAGCAAATGGACAAATGATTATAGCATAATTCTAACTGGTGCCGCTTTTTACCATCGTTATTATAATACGTTATACACCGAATTATTGAGCTCGACTCTTCACAAGACTGTCGAGCAATCGCAAAATTGCGAAGACATACTTATGAATTTTTTAGTAAGTCATGTCACTCGAAGACCACCAATTAAAGTGACGCAACGGAAATTGTATAAAGATACTACAGTGGCTGGAATCAGGTATGTCTCACTTATTTTTAATGTAATCTGCTACGCAGGTGTACATCCGATCCTCCTCAACCAGACAGTTCTTGTGATTTCTTCGATTTACAGTTTCTTGAGCCACTTGTAACTGTGCGTACACTTTTTCGTTTGATTGTTCAATATTCGTTGATGAAATACATTGGTTATCAAATTGTGACATTAATTCGGTTCAATGAATATCACACTATTCGTACTTTGTTTCTTTTCTTTGATTTTTGGAGGATTTTTCACGTGTATTTGGAAAAAATTGGCGTTTTTTTGTATCAGTTCAAATGTATAATTCGTACGTATACCTGCGTAGCGAAATATTGTATCAATTGTTCAACTCTCTGCCTTGACACGGTAATTTTCAGATCCCCTTGGAACGATCCAGACCACTTTATACAACGGCAAACGTGTATGAATACGTTTGTAGCCGTTTTCGGTTACATGCCGTTGTTGCGATCCAATATGAGGCTCGATCCTGTTCTGTTTAAAGACTCTGTAAGCAACTTGCGCAAGAAGTATAGGCAAATTGAATTAGTTAGTAATTAGAATTGTACGAGATACATTATCAGTTACACAGTTTATCTACCCTTGAAACGAGCATCCTATATAGCCTCGGAACATTTTGAAACGATAGCGGCGCAACTTGCTGTTAGAGCCGCGGTTTTGCTCTCACGCGGGCGGCTATTCCAAATATATAGGGAACACTTACATAATTGTAAGTTATAGGCCGCCGTGTTGTCGGTGGTCGTCGGGCAGCGAATCAAGAAGGTCTTTCATTCGCGAGGAATGGCGATACTCTACGCTTTTATGTATTCGCAAATGAATTTTGTACAAAATAATTAATAGGGTATGTCACGATATTGTTCGAATTCGAAAATTGGGTCGAGGCGCGCGTCTTGTCGTGCGATCACCGTAATAAATTGATGTACATACGAATCGTTTCATAGTTATTAATAAAAACGAGCAAAATATATATTAAAAAAAAGAAAGAACGAATAAAAAGGAAAAATTATTTGGCGAGTTCTTCGACTTTTAAAACCGGCCTTTTGAAGCTACGTCAGGTGTTTTAATTATAGTCAATGAATTGCTCGAAACCAAATTTACCAAATGCTTGTCTCTCTCGTTGAAACGGATATTTTATACAAGCCTCAGGGATGGTATCTACTGGCGTGAAGATCGGAACGCAATGCGCGCGATCCTGGACTGCCTCTGAGAGCTTTCGAGAATTAATTCTTTGTTTTCATGTCAACTTTTATATCTTGATCACGCTCTAATTGTATAGTTTAAGTATGTCTTAGCGTAAGATACGACAACTAATATTATTCATCGCGTAAGCTTTGAAAAAGTCAACGTTCGCCTCGTTTCGCTAAACGCAGGTTCACTCCATGATAATATTTCGATTTGTTTCTCAACGTTCGTAGTTTTGCTATGTATTCGGGGCACAGATTATTCGTAAGTTATAATCATATACGCAGAAAGTATTCCAAGGTTTTGCATATTACTCCATATATAAGAACGTTCGCGTTGATTTTTGTTCGTTCGCGATAGATGTAGAGCACGATCGATCTTATACATTTCGTCGGTTCCGTTTGCATTCTAACGAGCTCTCAGGAGACCTTTAAGAGGAAGTAAGAAATTACTTGTGACAATATCGCAAGTACGTCTAGTCGTTTACGTTCATTTACATTGGAACGCCCGAAGGAAAAGTAAATGATTCGCATAAGTAAACTCGATGGCCGTATATTTGTGTTTCCACGGACATATGCAGAGAGAATGATGTACATATATATGTATATGTGATACGTTCATAATTATCATGTGATATATTCGTAATCGTTGGAGGCAGGATTCAAAAGGATTTCGTAATTCCATCAGTGGCATTTTTTTCTGTCGCCAGAACGTTGCGCATCATAATGTGTATTACGTGAAATGTTATATTTTTTATTGTATCCCTGATTTCGATGTTCGAAGAGTTAGCAGGAACGAAGAATCGCTTTTTCCCATTTTTTCTTTATCGAACGCTATTCCCTCGATACGAAACGAGGGTGAACGTAAATTATGAGATTATGTACATAATTATTTTTTCACCTTATGATACTGTATTATCGATACTTTGTACGATTAGCGATGATTGGCGGGAATGCATGATACTTGTTTCTTTTTTCCTGCAAATTCTTCGCCCCCCCCCCCCCCCCATGAATTTAATTAGGTACGGGACTGTGCAAAAAAAAAAATGATCGCTTTTGTTCCGAACAGAAGATATTATGGCGATGTGGTGTTACGGTGTACCAAACATTACTTTTAATTCTAACAAGAAGGGTATTTTAACATTATACATAGACAGTTGAATATTACCTTAGCGTATCGATGGTTTTCAATTTAATTCGAAGCTGAACGTCGATGTAATCTTGTTGCGCCAGAGTAACGTGTATTTGAACAAATATTGATGATTTTATATGGCCGAAAAAAAAAAACAGAAATAAAGTTTTTATACAAATCTGGGGGTACCGTAATCCCATCGTGTAACGAAGATACTGAACCATAATTTTCCACTTCGCGCGTAAACCGCCCGGACCGTAAGACGTCTACTTTACGAAACGCAATACTCCGTTGAAAGCTTACTCTTCGGTCGTCTCGGGAAGCTACGAATAATTTAGCCAACTTTACGGTCGTGTGCCTTCATAGACGATGGGAACTAACCCTTGGCGTGTTTCCGTTGCAGACCATGCCAACAACTTTTCTCGCGTTTGCTACTCACGTAAGTCGAGAACGGTTTCAGGGTTACCGATACGAGAAGCAGATGGGGAAAAAAATTTGATCGAAGGAAGGCGGATTTCGTCCGTGGAAGGCGACCCGGGATCGGTGTACCGTCGTGGCTACCACCACCATCCGTAACCACCACCATTAGGCAGTGGGGCACCACCACCACCAGCAACGGTTGGCAGCCACCACCATCGTCGCGTTGGGTGATCGCGGACGCGGGAATGGTGGTGGCCACGCGGTGTATAGCAACCAACACTCCCTTCCTCTTTGTTGCTGCTTTGCTAGAAAGGTGACTATGCCAAGAAGACAGGAGGTATTGAGCACGCCTTGCGTATACCCAGTCACCTTTCTCTCTTCGTGACCGTAGCATATGTTTTGCGACGTCGATGGAGCTCTCGCGGCTTTGAACGGCGCTACATTGAAGCTGTTGCTCCTTCCTACCCTGTATTTTTTTTTTTTCTCCCCCACGGTGGATTTTTACCGAATTCTCGAGCGCGCGAAGAGCCAGCCACAAATCGTCCAGTGTTCGCTCGGCCGAGATCGAGCTCGGTAAAAACGTAATCCACGATTAAAACGGAAGGGAACTAGAGGAAATATCCACCGAATCATCGGGACACGTCCGGAGACAGCCGCGATCGCGCACGGTTTTCCACCGGTTTTATCATTCAGTTTTTTTCCGCGAGCGGTATTTTACACGTATGTGCGCCGCGCACCCTTCGGCCTGAGAGTAGAGCCCCAGAATACTTTGGACAAATTTTGCATCTTCGCGTCGTTACGTGATCCATCGAAGAAGCAACGGCCAGGATCAACGATACAGGAACGAAAATGATCATCGTGAGCAGTGCGTTGCTCCTGCTGGTGGTCATATCCAGAGTGGGTGAGTGCCGAATTTTTTTTCAGTTTCTGCGCTTGGTTTTTTTATATAGATCGACGAAACAAGTTTTCGAGTTGCTAAAATGTTTTGGCTTCGTTGCGTCACTGAATGCATAACCATCCCATTCCTGCCACATATATATGCATATTATTTTTTTTCTCTTCGCGACTTCGACGCCCATTTTACGAATCGCATAGTCCAGGATACTCTGTCCCCGCAACCGTAAGCAAACATTATGCGATCGTTGTAGCGCAGAAGTCGATTTCGCGCGGTTGTCTTTAAAGCACGCTCGAAGGTCGAAGAGGAAAACCGATCGTGGCGGTGAACGGCGGCGCGAAACAAGACTTGTATTTAAATATCTCGGAACGGTTTACGTCACATAACGCGAAAGTGATATTTTGCTGATTTTAACGTGAATCGTAAAAAAAAAAAACGATAAAAAGGGGTTGTTTAGCATCGCAAACTAATTATAGACAGATTCCAAAACAGGTTTCACGAAATTATTCATTTACAGTTGCAATAACAGGTGGTTTAGTAAACGAACAATGGCTCGATGATCATCGTAATCATTTGCTCACGCATTTTACACTTCACCTGTTAACAAATGCCCTTTATGCGGGGACAATTATTCGGAATGAATATTTAAAACGATGATTAACCCGGTAAACTCGGTGACTCGCCGATTGACTCGCCAGTTTTGCTGGTTCGCATTAGCCACGAAAATGTCAGTTTACGTAACGCGTCGGGTCGTTGGATAACTGGTACACGCGGAAATCAGGGATTGCGCGCGTTGCGATCCCCGAGGGTGTGCCCCAAGGGTGCACGGTGAACCTCTTTTTCCCCTCTTGCGGCGGTTCCCTCGGCTCGCCCCAAATACGGTGACGCGCGCTCTAAAATGCTTCCTCGAATATAGCCATGATCGGCTTAATTCGCTTGGATCCGCTTTCGGAAAAATCCGCTACTCGTTAGAGCGGCCTCTTATCGGTAGGCGTCGAGAATACTTGATATCGCTTTGAATATCCGTCCCCGGTTCTCTTTAAGGGAATTCACTTGACCGGTTACATCGGTTCGCGGCCTATCCAGGTCACTGTAGGGAATTTCGGTTTACTGGCGTGTTCACAAAGCGTTTCGCGGTGAGTCGACTCCGGGACCAACGAATTCAAACAATCCAATTTCGCGGCTGTTAATCCTTCGTCGATTCACCGAGGCGCCTCCGTTCGAGTCTGCGGCCACCGTCGTGCAGCCCAGGATTTCGCAAAACGATCGTTTCGCATGCGAGAACCACCTACCCGTGTTGCTCGATTGCAACAGTTGCTTGCCGTCGATCGTTGAAACAAACAATCAACGGACACCGCCCGCAACGACCGGCAGCAAATTGACTTGAAATTTCCAAAAATTACGCTGTAACAATAAAACAACCCAGGGGGGGGGGGGGGGTGGGACTCGAGTTTCTTTCTAGAGAACATAAAGCCTCGGTCGATCGTAGGCAGATTCTAGAGAACATAAAGCCTCGGTCGATCGTAGGCAGATTCTAGAGCGAAGGCAGTAGGTATTGCAGTCGGAGATGCAACCGGTTTCAAAGATGCGAAACCGATTGCATTCGATGTACGAGTGTGTCGGAGATCGAGACAAAGGGGAATGTTAACAGCATTGTAGTACATTTCGGTAACAAGGCTGACGCGGTCCTGAAACCTCGCCGATCGAAACGATCCTTTTGCGAAATCACTCGCCACCGTTGGCCGGTGCTCTCGCGACTCTGGATACAATTGGATATCTGTTTTCATCGGTTACAAAGGTACCTGTATCCCGTAACGTATGTACATCCGCCTATAAACGTTCCGATAGGCGGAACGATATTAAAGTATACGACGGTTAGGCAATCGATGCTTATATAGAAATTACAAAGGGAGTTGTACGAATCGCTACAAGGGCAATGCAGATAACGCGGTTTCTTTCAGATTTACTCGACAGACCTCCTACGACTAGCCTAGAGAACTCACGAAGCTTCGATCAGACGGCGTTTATGCACTCCGTTCAAACGAATGCTTGTTATTGTAACAAGACGATGGATTACGTGCACGATCCAATAGTAGGATCTGTCGTGAGACATTCTCTTCGCCTTCGGGGCGGCACTACTGTGACGACGGCAACTCGATAATAGAATGCTGCGCGGGTGCGTGGAATCCGACCTTCGACGGTGGTTTTGACATTCTGCTGTGATTTTTTTTTCTTCTTCTTCTCTCACCTGGCAGAAGTACACCTCTACGGGCGCGTACCGAAGACGTTATCCGTGAAAACAGCTGAGAGCCTGGCCACGTGCCTGCGCAACGGGTATTCAAATTTATTCGATCGATTCCCCCTCCTTCTCTTATCCGACAATAAATCCTGGAGGAATTAGAATACGATTCTCTTTCGCGGAAAACAAAGCGGTACTCGATGGACGATGAAGTAACAAAATCGAGCGATCATTATTCCGGGTAATTAATGGGGGTTTTTCCACCACTGGGGGATGTCCTTGTGGAATCAATTAAAACAGAGTAAACAGAAGCTAAGCAGAAGCTCGACTTCGGGCAAGAAACAAATTCACGAGGTACTGAAACATTTCCGCCCTGCCACGAATGCTCAGAATTGGACCCAAGTACGTCGCACTCATCGAGACATTACTGTAGATCCTAATCGGTGGCCGCTCGTGGCTCAACTTGTCCCTCTCCAGGTAGATCCTGCGAAATCCTAGGAGTCATGGAAGTAGATTCGGTTTCACGCGTAGGCGCGTCGCTGTTTCACGGTATCGTCCGTCGTCTATCGAGTAATTTACTGTCAGGAGGCACGTTTACGCCCCGTAATTTATCCGCCCCCGATCCGCAACCACGGCGTCAAGGACTCGGGCTAGAAATATTACCGAGATTACGTTTAGGTGGCGTCTGGGCGCGGCTCGATGAAATCTCTTTAAACCGGTCGGACGTATTCTTTTTTTTTCTTCTGTGGAAACAGTATGAATTACCGGGGAGGGCCCCCTCCGCTTTTCTATTATCGTACCGGATAACATTGAAATGGTGAACGCTCTCCACCACGGGGGAACCACGATTCAGTATTACTTACTTGCCTCCACGAGCAACGGGACAAGGCCCTTTAATAGTCTACACGATCACCGCTCTCTCTCTCTCCCTCCTTTCGACAACCTACAAAGTCTCGAAAAGCACGCGTATTCCAGTACCGTTTTATTATCCACGTAACCCTGTACACGATATTCTATCGCAACGCATGAGAATCTCGTAATAATTTTCCGAGCTCGATGCTCAGGAACACAAGAATTTATACGAATTCTTCTTCCATCGCGAAATGGTACAAACACGATTGTAAAATATGTGTTATTCCCCGTATACATTTTTCGCCCGTCGAGCAATAAAGACAGATCGCGAGATAACGTCTTCGCTAATTAACAAGACAATTCGCAAGATTCCAGTCTGTTTCGCGGACGAGCAACCCGTCCGTGGAAGTGCCTATTTCGTGAAAATTCGTATCACTTTCGGCTGACGTGGGTTCCGAGTAAAAGAGAAATCAGCTCGTTAATCGTTCCAATTATCGGGGAATAAAAGTTGTTTCCTTCGCGTTCCCACACGACAGACCGGAGTGCCGTCCCGGATCATTTTCACTGGACAGATCGTTCGACGCGAATCATCATCAAACGTGCGCATTCTCGATCGTGGGAGACGCGACTATTTCGCGGATCAGGATTCTCGTTTTCACAGAGATCGCGTAGGCATCTTCTGTGACTTTAATTCCCCCCTAGGTTACTGTTCATTTAACCGGCTGGATTACAAGAGTTCCTGTAATACACCTGGCAGATATTTTATCCGTCGACTGCCAGATGCTTAAATTATACCCGGGAGGCGCACTAAAATCGATACCTTGACCGGTACGCGGCTGGTATAACGCAAGGAACACGATACTACTCGCTGGAACATCGTTTCCCGGCTATTATCCTTTCCTCGGGATTCCAAAGCGCACCCGCGTTGCACTCACACACTTCGTAATTATCCTAAGACAATAATAATATTACGCCGTTAAAGGACATATATAGTTAATTTATATATTTGTATATTTTCAAAGATTTGTCAGGTTCATCGATCCGATAGAAATTGATATATGTTTATCGTTGGTAGTTCTACTGTTAAATCTGACAGAGTATTTTCGAGTCGAATATGGTGATTACGAACAGAGTACCTCAATGACTAGTACATACCATAAGATCGGTATAGTTATCCAAATATGTCTGATAAAAGTTCAAATTCAGATCGCGTTAACGTCCGTGCCTGTGCACACAAACTCGTATCAGAAGCGGCCGTTCCGTACCGCCTAAGTGCAACAAGCTCTGTTATTTGCGAAACCAAATATGGCTCGGGGTGTTCGTCGATCGATCGTTCGAGGCACTTAAAAATGATAGTCGGGCTCCGAGACGCGTAATGCGACCGCCTCTCGTGGCGAGATTAACCGTTTCTGTTCGCGTATTGTTCCGACCGTTTTACGAGGCGAGCGCAGACGCACATTATCAAGGCACAGTCGTAACAGGTATATAACACGCTGCGTTAATCCACATCCTTTTGGTCAGCAGCAAAACTACCTCGGACAAATTCTATGCTTCGTTCCCATAAACAAACAAGACGTCTTAGACTCAACCATCGAATCTCCAATTCCATTCCGAATACTAACTATATTGCCACTAGGCATATTGCCACGCGAGGCACTTCCCCTTCATACGTACTTTCCAGAACACAAATTCACTCAGCTCTTCAGCTGTTGCGCAGACGCTGAAGCAGAGGTTACGACGATAGAATTTAGCATGGAGGGAGCTCTGAACTTATTGCCATTTTACTCCCCTACAGCCCATGGCAATATAGTTACAGTCCACAGACGAAGGGCTTCCTACCATTTAGTTTTGCGAGTTACTGAAATTTATGCCAAATTAATATTCGGTTTAACATTTTCTTCGGTACTTGAAATAA